ATGGACCAAACAAATGAAGACTTTTGCCTCATCTTTTAGCTGCTTTTGTATCTGTGTGTGTCTCTTTACACCATTTTCTAACTGTTAGGACTACTTTCCCCTTTCTGAAGCCTGGGGATGTCTCTTTAAAGAATCTTTACGGCATCAAGAAGTGTGGAGATGCCTGGGAGCGGCACCCTGCACCACCCTAAGCCCACAGTGCATTCCCAACCCACGCAGCTCTCACCACACACTTCCTGTTCTGAACAGCAGACCCATGATTGGGCCAACCAGCCCTAAGCCAACAGGCCAGCTTTAGCCTCACTGCAGGGTTCACACACGGGAGTTCTGGCTCCTACACAATGAGGTACCCATGAGAGAGTCCTGCTTGTTGGCTGAGCCAGTTCCTCCCTTCTTCCCAACATCTTCCATCTCTTTCTCGTTCCTGAAGACTTGGCATTTGGGTCACATCCCCTGCATCCCAAGGACAGCTATTATTCAGGGGACTTCAACAACCATGTGATAACCCATTCAGTGTGGCAATCTTGAACTATTCCTTGAGTTATCTCCCTCCCTCCTGGTCATCTGCTGAACACTCAGTTCAGATATCCTCATATCAACTTCACAGAGACCTCTGATTTATAGAATATACTCCCATTCCATAATCTATTGAACTCCATTTTAACGTTAAACCCATCCACAGCTCTATTTTCTGCCCAGTCCCACCCCTGAGCTAATAATGTTACATGTCTCTGATTTCTTATTCCAATAAGTTACATGTCTCTGATTTCTCCCCAGGTCCCCAATCTTTTTTCTGAGACAGTCTCATTCTATATAGCCTAGGCTGACCTGGAACTGGTTATTTGGCCCAGACTACCTCAAACTCAGGATGATTCACTTATCTCAATCTCCCAAGCGCTGAGATGACAGACAAGAGTCACCACACCCAGCTCTGACTCCTTTTCTTGTGTCCCGTGCTCAGGGTAAAACTTCAGATTCAGATAAACAGAGACAGTTGTTTACTTTCTCTGTGCCTGTCCTGGGCTATGAATGCTATTAAGTAGAACTACAACCCTAGACATGTGAGTCTACCAACCCACTTAGGCTGATGCTGACCCCCTTAGCCTCAATGCTCAGCATAACTTTTTGGTACAAAGTTTAGCTGAAAGCAAGAAATCAATTTTCAGGTCTGGAGAGGATGATTCATAGGTTAAGTGCACTGATTGCTCTTGCTAAAGACTAAGGTTCAATTCCCAGCACCCACATGGAGTCTAACAACTGTTCAAAACTCCAGTTCCAGAAGATCCAACACCCCCTTCTGGCCTCTGTGGGCAGTGCATATCATGGGTACACTTACATGCAGGCAAAATACTCAAACACATAAGATTAAAATTAATTAATTTTAAGCCTGGCGTGCTGGCGCACACCTGTCGTCCCAGCACTTGGGAGGCAGAGGCAGGCGGATCTCTGTGAGTTCAAGGCCAGCCTGGTCTACATAGTGAGTTCCAGGACAGCTGGGG